AAGCCCTGTAATCGGGGTGTATAGAAATTACATCATAGGGGGGTGGGGTGGTGAACCACATTCTTGATCTGGCATATGTTTCTGGTTTTAGATGGGAAGGAGCCATGAACTGGTTGAATTTTTTTGCATACCCTGTTCTCTGTGTGTGTTTTACTGTACGTCGGCCTCTCTGATCTCATTGTAATGTGTCTGAACCTCTCTCTATTTTATAATAAGAATAAGCATGGGGTGCAATTGCAATTGATGTCTCATTCTTATCGGAAACACCAGGTGGTTGTGCTGACCTTTAAATTCTGCTAGTTGCCAGCTTTAATTATCTATCTTGGCAGCAAGGTATGTAAAATCAGCTTTTTATCAAGGTTCCAACATCAGCATTTTATCATGGTCACAGGATCAGCTACTTGTCTACAATTATAGGTGTTATGCTCCCGCCACAAGACTACTCTGGCTATTGGACGTCCAGATGACTGGCTGGTGGCCAGGTGTCTGTGTAAATCATTGCCCTTTAAGCAGATGATGAGTGGCATAGGGCATTTCCAAGGAATCCTCTGCCTCCAATAACTGACCATCTTTGTTTTAACTCCTGTTCTTATACTTCTAACTTCTGTTGTTTCTGTTCCTTAAAACCACAAAGCATTGACTGTTTTATACTCAGCCACTGAAGATCAAGTTGCAATTTGCATCCCAATGAAACACACAAGGGCCTCGTGACTGGCACAGCACCTTGCCTGGGATTTCACAGCTGCCTGCCGGTATCCTGACGCAAGAGCAGACCCTATTGTTTGCCCAAATAACACTCCCGACAGTTGCCCCTGACAATCCATGGTTGCTGTGGAAACCTTTTCATCCAGTCAACAGTAGAGCAGGAACAGTTAACCCATTCCTGCTTTTCCCTTTAACCCATTGGATGCCTGCAGAAGGTCTTGTTGTTGCACCATCTCATCCAGGAATTAAACGAATCACTGAAACCCTGCCTTTTTTTTTTTTTTCTCTCATTGCGTTAATATTGCCCTGCTGGGTATCCGTTTTTACCAGCTACATCACGACCCTGCACGTTTTTTTAATGCCTGCGTGGGACTGAATCATGAAATGGGTATCCATCCTTGCAGTTAATGTATAGATCAGCTCCTTGCTTTTTGTACCCTTTCACCAGTTTTACTTTTGTATGGGCATTTCTAATTTTATAAAGCTGTTCAATAAATATGAAGGTAAGCTGCGTTTTGTTATCGGAGAGAGGTTACATCGATCGATGGAACAATTCCTCTTACCTCTTTTATGCGTGTGACAGTGTGCACTTATCCAATGCCTGGGTTCAGGGGTCAGATGGATGAAGTGTGAATTGAAGCAGTCAATTTTTAAAGGAGCAGGGGTTGAAAAGGTTAATGCTGCTCATCTGGCAGGCAGCCCCCCAACCTCTGCGTTCTAACAGCCTTTTTGCTGCTGTTTTGCCGCCGCTCTCCGAAACCACTGACAACCTGCTAAGAACAGCTGCTCCGATAGCTTTCCAGAGAAAACATGGCTTGGCCAATGACCTTACAAGCACATCGAGATGTTGACACCATGCATGCGCACTCAGTCTCTTTCTGTACCATCTCTCAAATACTTTCCTCACCCCCCCAAAAAGGGGTCACTTACGTCTGCTTTTTATTTTTTCTGACGTGCTTAAAATTACTCTGTGCAAGCTGTGTACCCTGACAATGACATGCGTCAACACAGGAACAAATTGTCCTCTCTGCCCTCCGTATTAGTCGATATCTGCACTTTGTTAGCTTATTATCTAGGTAAAGATAAAAGATCATTACACTGGACGTGCCATTGTATGTATACTTACCTATCACTAAAGAAAAAATGTAGGCATTTTTTATTTTTTGTGCCTCTTTTTTTTTTTTTTTTTTTAAACTGCAGGCACCATAACTACTTTATCTAATTGAAGCAGTTTTGGTGCCTGGAGTCCCCTGTCCCACTGTTCAGTCTTAAACTGGTTTTGAATGGTTTAACAGAGAATGAGGGTCTCCAGCTGCCTGGAGCAGACCCCTCTCTGCTGTTTAAGATAATGCTTCCACATTGGTTTGACTAACGATGTGCATCAGTAATAGGCTGAGAGTCTTAGCACAATCACTGCCACCCATTGCTGGAATGAAATCACACGCTGTATTTTAGGCATACCTCCATGGGTGAACTAAAACTGTTGTGATGCTTTGCGTAGATTCAGCTTTTAGTAATGATTTTGTTAAGCTGATAAAGCTTATTAATTATTTATAATTTTTCCATTTGTAGCATAATTGAGAATTTTGCAGATTGTGTTTGTGTGTTTTTTGTTTTTTTTTGCCTTGTTTTGGGTCAGTCGCAGGAATTCATGAGTGAAAAGTGTACTCCTCCAAAATCTCTGGCTTAGAGGTGAGACAAAAAAAATAGTCTTGCCGACTGAAACGCTTGCTACATAAGATTGTGCGTGTGTGTTTTTTTTGTTTTTTCTTCTTCTTAGGTTAAGCCTACCTTTTTGTCTTCCTATCTTATTACATAAAATGAATCCCATAGATTTCTATATGTGTAACAGAAAGATGTAGCCTAGTTTTTTCTTTTAGAGAAAGTCAGTGTGTCTTTCTACACTTTGGCCTGTAGATGGGAGTAGCACAGCTCTTGCTAGGATTCTCTTATAACAGAGATTTGGCAGGCCGCATCCAAGACCCTTGGACATTTATTTTTGTTAAAGTGGCACGGTCATGCCGAATTTACCTTTCTTTAATCGAGTCCTCTTCTCTCCCTCTCTCAGGATCTGTTCTTCGTTTCTTCCTGTCTGCTCTAGTTTTTTTTTTTTTAAAACATAAGACAAAGTAGGGACTATGTCTTATGGAGGTTTCCTACGCCTGACCAGTTATGACCAGCGGAGGAGCAAAGAGTGCTTTGTTTCCGGTGATCAAAGCAATTTTCCCACAATTCTCACCTTTAATCCGTGATCCTTCCTGTTAGTATTCCCGAACAGATTCTCCATTTGTGTTAGGACGCAATTCGGGACTTTATTCGGATCAGAATTTCATTTTAATGAATGAAACTCCGATCCTATTCGTGCTGTGGCTGCATCTTGCAGCCGCTTAGTAGATAACTCCTTAATTCCCACGGCATTAGGGAGCTAACTACCAAAAGGCTGAAAGACCTAAGTTGGTCTTTTAGCCAAATTTACTAATACTAAGTAAAGACTACTTAGTATTAGAAAATTCTGCCCCTACTCGCTATACTGCGAGTAGGCGCATGTCTAGTAAACAGTGAGCAGCCAGTGGGGGGACGACGATGATAGGCCCCCACCCATGAGCGGCGGCTGGGGGCCCTAAATGAAAATTGGTGGACCTGTTGTTCCCCCCCCGACCCCCACAGATGAGCGGGTGGGGGCCCTAAATAACAATTAGGTGGGGGTCCCCAAGCCCCTAGTCACCCCCCACCCAAAAAAATTAATAATAAACCCCTACCTACCTTCCTCACCCTATAAATAGTGAGGGGGGAACAAGAGAACTAAATACCTGTAAAAATTTAATAAAACTTACCATTTGATGTCTTCTTTTAAAGACTGATCAAAGGTGAGAATTGTGGGAAAATTGCTTTGATCACCGTAAACTAAGCACTCTTTGCTCCTGCGCTGGTCAAAGCTGGTCAAGCGTAGGAAAAATACATAAGACAAAGTAGTGCCTACTTTGTCTTATGCTTTAAAGAAAGCTAGAGCAGACAGGAAGAAATGAAGAACAGATCCAGAGAGAGGGAGAGATGATGAATCGATTAAAGAAAGGTAAGTTCCGCATGACAGTGCCAAACTTGAAAATCCTCTGAAAATTTACTCTTTTCTGTACTTTATGTAACTATTAAAATTTGCAGGTAAGGTGGACTATTAATATAATTCATGAAGCTCTGTCATATACTGCAGCTGTGTACCAACAGCCCCTCATAGTGCATAGCCAAAATATTATATACATAAGCAGAAACGTTTGACATGCTATGACCTATGTACATTGCCAACCCCTAGAGAAATGCTGTTCCCTGTGTCTGCTCATAAAGGCAAATAAATAGTTATTCCATCCACCATGACCACTTCAGTGATTGAAAGTGGTCATGGTGGTAGGAGTCTGTATGTTCCGGGATTCTGCTTGAAACACTGCACATCCTGAGATATTTTTAATTGTTGAACCCCTAGGATACATGACTTAGGCACTCTGTTTCAGGCTGCCTAATGTCAATTCTGTGCATATTTTATGTCTGTCGTCAGCGCTGCCAAGAGATGTAATAATCTTAAACTAGCTCTCCACTCTCTCCCTCACACCCTGTGGGCATTCCCCTCTTGCCTCCCTCCTTTCTCGGAATGAGAGAAATCCTTCCTCCGTTGTCCTGCCTACTAGGGATTATCGGCCAATATTTAGTATTTTCGGCAATGTCGGTATTGGCCTATAGAGATACCGATATTGCCGATAATACATACCAGGACCGCCGGGCCCATTACAAGCCCGGCAGTCCTGGAGGGCCCACAGTAAGCTCTTACCTTCCCAGCAGCTCCCTTGTGTAAATCTTGCGAGTCCTGCGGCTGTCAGAGCGTTGCCACGGGTTACCATGGCAACGCTCCGCGCGGCACACAGGCCGCGAGATTTAGACAGGGGAGCTGAAGGGAGATGTTGGGAAGGTAAGTAAGAGCTTGCTGCGGGCCCCACTGTACAGTCCATGCCACCGGACCACCAGGGAATGATATATCCCCCCTCCCTGGCCAAGTAAGAAGCAGGGAGGGGGGACAAAAAAAAAATGCCCCTCCCCCCCATTTTACACTAATTACATACCCTCATAAACACACACACATAGTGTGTGTTTGTGTAGTGTGTGTAGTGGATGCACTGTGTGTTTGTGTAGTGTGTGTAGTGGATGCAGTGTGTTTGTGTAGTGTGCGTAAAGTGAATGCTGTATATACTAAATGCAAAGTGTGTGTATTTGTATAGTGTGTGTATATACTGCAGTGTTTGTGTAGTGTGCATTATATAAACACACTGCACAAACACACTGCATTATATACACCGTGTTTGTGTAGTGTTTATATAATTCAGTGTGTTTGTGTAGTGTGCATTATATAAACACACTGCATTATATACAGTGTGTTTGTGTAGTGTGTTTATATAATGCAGTGTGTTTGTGTTTTATATAAACACACTGCACAAACACACTGCATTATATAAACACAATGCACAAACACACTGCATTATATACGCACTGCATTATATAAACAGTGTGTATGTGTAGTGTGCATTATATAAACACACTGCATTATATACACACTAAACAAACACACACACTGCCTTATGCACAGTGTTTGTGTAGTGTGTATATAATGCAGTGTGTTTATTTAATGCACACTATACAAACACACTGCATTATATACACAGTGTGTTTATATAATGGAGTGTGTTTGTGTATGTATGTAATTGAGGGGGCATTTTTTATTAAAATCTTTTTTTTTTTTTTTTTAAATATCTAATTATTATTATTTATTTTTTAGTCCCCCCTCCCTGCTTGTTACTTGGCCAGGGAGGGGGGATATGGCATTCCCTGGTGGTCCAGTGGCATGTACTGAGCAGTGGGGACGGCAGCAAGCGTTTACTTACCTTCCCAGCAGCTCCTCCAGCTCCCTGTGTAAATCTCGTGGCCAGTGTGCCGCGCGGAGCGTTGCCACGGTAACCCGTGGCAACACTCTGACGACCGCGGGTCTCGCGAGATTTACACAGGAAGTTGGAGGACCTGCTGGGAAGGTAAGTAAATGCTTGGTGCCGGCCCCCAACAGGACCGCCGGGCTTGTAATGAGCCCGGCAGTCCTGTTATATATTATCGGCAATATCGGTATCTGAATTGGCCGATACCGATATTGCTGAAAATACAGAATATCGGCTGATAATCAGTCGATCCCTACTAAACAGACTGTATCTACATGTGGCATGTATATTTTATGCATTTACCTTTAGAAATAGTTTATTTTAAAAAATAATTTAAATGTACAGAATATCGGTAAATTACAAGCTATCGGCCTGAAAGATCACAGATTATCGGTATCAGCTCTAAAAATAAATCAATATCGGTTGATCCCTACGGCCTATTCCCTTCCCAGCCCTTAACGCGCACATGCACTCTGGGAATTTATGCATTCATAAGCTCCTCTGAGAAGCCTGTGATTGGATAATGTCTGTGCCAGGTGACATCACGACAGGCCGTGGAAAATCCTTGCTGCACCAGGCGCTGGATTAAGGTAAGTAAACACCCCTCCGCCTATTTTTATTTTTTTTAATACAGAGGGGCCTATTATTGCAAAAAATAGGGCATTTCTAAGTCATTATTTTTTTTCATCTGAGTTTGAGTAACCCTTTAACAATAACATAGCTATTTATTATCTCTATATTGTTTCATGCAGTGTTCAGTAAGCCCTTAAACAGGTGCAAATGTTGGACAGAACATCATTTTGTAGAGTTGTACAAATAATAGATTAGCTTTACATTTCCCCAGGAGTCTAAATGGTGTAGTTTGGATATCAATTAACCACAACTTGTGTAATGAATGGATGCCCTATAGATAAAGTTAGATTACATTCTCCCAGTGTTAACTAAATTGTGTGCCCTGAGGGCTACCTGTTTTAGGGACATTTTGTGTTTGTTTTTTCCCCCTCCCTTCTTCTTCTCATTTTGCTAAACACTGCACTGTGAATGTTTAATTAAAAAAAATATTATTTTCGGATTGTGTGTTACATTGTATTAAAAATGAATCTGGTCTAGTATTGGTGTCTTTAGAATATTTATGTTGTGTTCACATGGAGTTGTTGACAACATTTCTGAAAAATACTCTCCCCCTTTCCCCATTGTATTTTTTTTGTCCCTTAGATCATTTGCCTTCCATATATTTATTTCTTAAAATATTTATCACAATAATTCTCTGAATGCCAATCTCGTTAACCATCGGGTAACGTCTGGCGCAGGCTGTGCCTTGGAGCATCTGGCTAGATAGACTGGAACGTTGCAATACTCTTCAGCAGGTGGGCAAAGCACTGCTAATTAATCTAGTCTTCTGCAGAAAGCACAGATCTGAGCAGCGCCAAGTAGCGGGGGGGGGGAGGGAGGCGTGTGTGGAGGGAGTGTGGGGGTATACAGTGGAAGAACTCTGTGCCAGCCCGGGCTTCTCAAATCCGCTGGAAACTCTCCAGGAGGAAGCCAGGACCCTCTCTCCTCCCCCTGCTAGTGGGGAGGGCCTGCTTCTGTGCCCCGAGGAAATGTTCTTTATTATCTAATCGTCCTTTATCTTTAATTTACAAACCTCTGCAGCTCCAGCCATATGTCCTCTTTGTGTGTGTGCCTTTTTTCCTTTTAATTTCCTTTGTTCTGACTTTATATGGCACTACAGGGCACAGTAAGCATCAGCCTGTTCCCCCCCTGGAGAGACAGCCTTTTTATTTATTTATAATTTGTTTTATATTTCGCACCTTTTGCTCCATGTCGTTCTCTTTAGACCATTACTTTGAACCCGATATTTTAGGTCTTAGATTGAATGTTTCTATTCCTCTATGTGAAGTCAGAGAACAATGACTTTTAATCAGGGAAGAATGACTTTTAATAATTTTATTGATTATATTTTAAAAGCTCCTAAACATTATGTTTGTGGCTTCATAATACTGCAGACATTTGTCCACTTGAAACCTATGATTGTAGAGTAACAGGTGACCCAGTTAATCCCCATAGCTCTCCCTGTGGGCAAAGCAGTCAGCGCATTCTCTGATTTTTCTTTTATAAGATACGACACCAAGAGTGCTGTGCTGCACATTTATAGATTGTACTAAGCCACCAGAAACCATGTGCAGGCCACGGCCTCACTAGAGAGCCCAAGATGTTGCCACACTGTGTTATTTTTACAATTATTCAATCTCCTCGTTCTGGAGGGGGAGATTTTTTTTGTACTGTATGTTTTGCCTCTCATAGCCCAACCCTGAGATATAGCTCTGAAATCTAATTGAATGTTATCTAACCAGGCCTTCCATTGTGTGACTAGAACAAGCTGGTTTGTGTATTACATGATGTACCAATTTAGCTGGTAAATGCTCCACACTGTAGTTTAATTTCGATTGAACCAACAACTTCCTCTCTCTCTCATTCCCCTCCCTCTCCCAATATTTACCTTTCCTCTTACCCCCCATATTGCTCTTCCCAGTTGTCCCCTCTCCATCTCTTTGCCCCTCCCCACCCCCAGTGCATACACGCTCCCCTCATTTTGATTTCACCTATCCCATTTCTGTCCTATCACCTTCTTTTCTGTATCCTTACAACATTTTCTTCTGCATTCCTTCCTCCCTTTATTTATAAAATTTGGAGCCTTGGTAAGGAAAGGGTTAGGACACACAGTGTATTGGTGTAAACTATATGCAGAATTTAAATGCCCAGGTGAATACATCCTTAGGGAGTCTGTGTGTAGGAAGGCATACAATTAGATGATGCAAGATTCTGATAAGGAGTTTTCACTGCATTTCGGGAGATGGTTCTAAACCAGATGCAAGTCATTCACAAAGCATTCAGTCTTAAACTGTATCTACAGTTCCAGGATTATCTTAATCAATTGATTTAAACTAAAAAGAAGTGTGTAATATATAGTTTGGCTACACTGAGTCACGAAGAATTGTGATTGGTGGATATTGGTAAGTACATGCGTGAGTTTGGAAGTATATCCATATGACGATGATAAGGCTTGTTTCAATGAGGAGGGGATAAACCCTATTATTATAGTGCTTAGGGCAAGCTGTCAATGGCTCTGATGGTTGTGAATGGATCATATGTTATCGATCAGTAGGATTGTGTGGGCCAAATATTTCTCCTATTTGTTGATACTGCTTAATGTTCTGGTTGCTACATGTTGCTCAACGTTCCAATATCAATAGAATGTACTGTATTAGGACTCCGTTCATTTAACCATAGGCTTTCTAGATAGAATGTTTCAATGTGCTGCTGCTATGATGACCCTTGCCAACTCTTAATAACCAAGTGACCTATTAGGCATGCCGTGGTATCACAAGATACGCATTAGCTGTGGTCTTTAAGGAGTTAATAATTGCAAAAGGAATTAAGTGGTTAACCCATTTTTAATCTCTGAACATTCAAAACCCTTAAAGGAAACTAGATTTCGCCTTGATGTAAGTGAACGAGTTGATAGAATTGCTATACCACATGGAAAATAAGAAGGGATTAGCGAATGTACAGATTTAAATGAGGTTTTATGAGGATTTTAGAATACATTTATATATATATATATATATATATATATTCATTTTTTAAATTTTTTTTTTTTTTTAAATCTTGTGTCTGTGGTAGCTGTAGGGATAACAGATCAGTGGCAGGTAAAAGGAGTCAAACATTAAGGGAGAACCCTGTGGAGATGAGGGATGCAAGAGACAGACAGGCACAGACTCGCTGTGGGTGGCGAGATAAAATGATTGCCTGCATTTCAGAAGTCTGCAGGGTAGGAGAGATCAGACGCAGAGAAGCCAGAAAAGGCTTCTGTTCCTCCTCACTGGATAGCAATTGACCTGTGAGTAAAGAGAATCAGGGCTGGAAGTCATGTACAAACAAGCATAAAGCGTAGCAGTGCAGGGTGAGTATAAGCGATAGTAATAGCATCTGGGCCAGAAGGCTGAAAATAGCAAGACATGAGTGCTGGGGAGGCATAACGGAGGTTTCAGTGCCTTAAGTAGATTGGTCATATGTATATGGAGTAAGTCTGGTCTGGTAAATGTGGAGCAATCTCTATGGAAACAAATATGGTGTTCCTATGGATTTCTCCACTTGGAGAACTTTGACCCTGATTTACTCATTATACATAACCCCTATGTGTTGGTTTCTTGTGTGCTTATATAAATGCTGAGAGCACATCGGGGCAGAGGAGACCAAAATGGTAGGCCCCATCTTTTGTAGAACAGCATCATAATCCTTAAAGCATCATGGAAATTGTAATTTATATTTATCATGGAAATTTTTGTTCCAGACACCTGATGACCTTATCGGCATCTCATGTACTGGTAAAATGATATCTAAATAAATTATTTAACAGAGATTGA